TTGATTTAATACTTTGTTCATAGTCCTGTTTACTTGATTTAATACTTTGTTCATAGTCTTGCTTTGATACTTTGTTCATAGTCTTGTCTGCCTTGTTTGAACTTTGTCTGATCCTCCACTCCTTTTGAGTGTGTTTTTTGTTCATTAAATTCCTTTTGAACCTCCCCTCCCTATCTGAGTCCTCCCTGAGAGCCACCATTGTGACACAGAGGCAATCAAGTTGTCCGTCTCTTTAAGTCTAAGTTTTTAACTGTGAAAACAACATTACAGAAAGTTGTCAAATTGAACATAACAGAAATTACGAATCGAAAGATTTTTAAAGACAAATTCTTGCCAAATCTCTTGTGTGTTTGTGTTTGACTGAAGAGTATCTATGATCTCCTGGACTGGTGCCATCTGAAGGTACGGTAGAGTTTGCATCCAGGCCCAACACAAGTGACAGTCCAATAAAGCGGATAAGCCCAGTGGGGTCTCCCAGCATTACACGCCTCTTTTGGAAATTCTTTGTGCCATGTTTGTGTGTATTTGTGTGTCTGTGCTGGGATCATGGGATGGGCCATGCTTAACAAGGCTCTATTAGACTTTGACCACTTTGGACCATTGGCTTACCCAGATTAGAAACGATGTCATTACAATTCTTAGCCATTACGTTTAAAAAAAAAACCTGTATTCTTTTCTTTCTTTCAAAGTTAAAATTCACTTTAAAGAATAACAGACAGAAAAAAGGAACTGGAGAGAAAATACTTAAAAATATGTCATCAAGACTTTGTCTTAAAGTTTCCTCTGACTAAAAATAAATGTTTTCAACTTGATGACATATCTTTATCGGGTGTTTTTGTTTCTTTTTCTTTCATTGTGTGCACAAAACAAATAAAAAGACTGACTAATCCTGCTTTGCTCTCAAGAGCAGAGCAAATATTCTGCCCATACAATTTTGAGGACCCATGATTTAACAAATCATAGCAGCAGCTAACAGAGACAAATTGGTAGGTTTTTCTCCTCTGGAGACATTTTTCTGAGATTGAGGACGATTTTGACTGCATGATTTTAAACCATCGTGTAAAGATAGAACTACAAGAGAAGCGGTTCTGATTTATTTGGAGACATTGCAACCATCAAAAATACCAGTCCAGCGTTCGGCTGCCATCTTCTTTTTTAGAAAGGGTTTCATAAAGATACCCTCCTCCTCCAGATGAAGGTCTCTGCTGTTACCAGTAGTTCTGACCAACAGGTGACCGATCAGCTTTGGTGAGGACAGCCAAATACCTGTGAGCCACCACACGTTTGGGAGGGAATTAACAGGTTTGGTTGCTCTGGTTTGGTAATGTTTTTCTTTCGGTTTCACACTCGTTTATGATCCAGTGTGGGAAAATGGCCACCAGCGGAACTGTTGTAGTTTATCGTCTCCCTGGAAAAAAACACTGCTTTTGGTTCAACAAGGATGAGAACAACTGGGGGAGTTTTCCAGAGTTTTTAGAAGGTGTTGAGAGACAGAGAGGTGGCTGGAGCCTGAAAGATTTCCACTCAATGGATGGTGATGATGGATAAATGAATAGATAATCCATGCATGAATTAAAGAAGACATGTTGTGTCCCATTTTTGTTGGTGATCAGAACACCGCCTGGTAAAACCACAACCGCTGTCCTGTCAGTCCTGCTCAAACAGCATTCCTCAGACTGGGCTGTTTCGGGGGAGGGGGTGGAAAAATGAGCAGCCTGTCGTAGACACGCCTCTGGCTCCTCCTCCTTCTGCCCGCATTTATGACGAATAACTGATAATAATAATGATGGAAAAAGTTTGTAACCACAGGCGTGAGCAAAAAGGTTCCCCTGAAGACGTTCCACTATCAAGGCTTCATCCGTGATCGATTTCCCTTTTTTCACTTCAATTTGAAAGGAATTCAGTAACAGAGCAAACGGGGTGGAGCTTCATCCAGCCATTTTCTATCATCCATCCCTCCATTTTCTGTACCTGCTTAATACAAGTCAGAGTCAAGCCTCACCAGGTTGTTAAACCCAATAAAAAAAACAGCACTGCTTCATGCATTCGTTTTCTTAGATGGAGGCGGTCTCTGCAGCTGCTTACAGACAAATCCATTCATTTATTTATTCATTCATTCATTCATTCATTCATTCATTCAGTTATTCAGCGTCCAAACTGCTTGTTCCTTGTAGGGACACAGGATCAGACCGATTCATTCATAAATTTAAACAAACATCCAGAGGAGGTTTATTGAGGTTCTACCAGCTGAATGCCACCTACAAACCTCAGAGCTCTGTTTGCTTTAAATCATACAAGGATATACACAAACCAGGGTTGGTCTCTGCAAGAGCCAGTGGGCCAGGTCTAGGGATGTCCCGATCCAGCTTTTTTCACTTCCGATACCGATCCCGATCCCGGCCTATCAGAGCGTGTGTTAAAGTTTAAAGTTATTTATCTACTTACTTAGTTGTCAGACTCATGTTGAACAGGGATTTACTCTGATAACAACTTAATGGTTAGGACACAGACCTGTGGGTCAGGAGATGCTAATGCTAATGCTAATGCTCGTGTACGGATCGGATATTTAGAAAAAACTGGATCTGGAATCTGGATCTGCATTTTCACCTGCCGGTCGATGACCAGTTTTTTTGCAAATATCCGACCCAGATATTGGATCGGGACAGGCCTATCCAGGCCAGAGCATTCCTGGAGAAACTGAACAGATAGGAAGCTTCTCCTGACTTTCTGTGTCCCTCAACCCCACATTTGTAGTTTTGAGGTCAGTCCTCTTTAAAGGCGATGAATCTTCCAATGCGTCTTCCAATTTTGTGAAGCAACCCTTTACCGGGATGGTCACATGGCCCCCAGACTCACCTGTGTTTCCCCAAAATCCCATCCTCAGTCTCTGTGACACAGAACCCATCTTCAGACCGCTAACAGACGCCCCGCTGTGTTTTTTCTGATTCTTCTGGTTTTTAACAGGAAAGACGTGGGAGAGGGAAGGCAGTCAAATCACACCGAGATGTGAAGTGCAGTGACTAATGCCGGACAGTGTGAGCTAGCATGGTCCTGTGCTGGGCCCACTTCCCGTTCCTTTCCCCGGTCAGACGGGTGATGTGTGGGCGAGCAGAAGTGAGCCGGGATCTGCGATTCAGCGCGAAGCGAGCGGGGAAACGCAGGAGACAGCGACTGGAGAGAGGAGGACTGGAGAGAGGGAGGGAGGAAAGTGAAAGAGACGGCAGATATATCTGACTGTGTGGGCGTGTGAAGTGGCGAGGCATGCATCATAATTGTGGCTTCTTCTCGGAGCAGCTGGACGAGCCTGGACAGTCGGCAGGACGCTGCTGGGCTTCTCAAAAGTGAGTTGTCTGCTACTTTGGAGCTGTGAGCCTAGACGGACACAAAATGGAAACCGAGGATTTAATTAACCGGGGAAAGAACAACATTTAAAAAAAACTGACCTGATACCAAACATGATGTATGGAGAATTATGAAACCCCTCCTCCATCCATAACCAAGATTTTGAGTAAAGAACTGAACTGAGGTGAGTTTTTTTTATTTATTCATTAATGTTGATGCTCTGATTTATTTATCTGGCTTTGTGCTTACCTCCCAAAAGGATTATTTTAGATGTTATAGCCTAAAAGATCTGATTTCTGCTTCATCTTGTCACAGTTTTGGGGCACTACAATTTTTTTTTTCCCCATTTGAAAAGCTTCAAATGAGGCTTATGTAATGTTAATGGGGATGTTCACGCCGTGCGCGTTTACGTGCGCGCCGCTTTGTCTTTTCTGTGATTTGAAGGGGCGCTGAACTCGACTTCTCGAAAAAAACCCAGTGTGCCATGCAGCCATCCCACGCTGTTTCCCGTTGCCATGGAAACTATTGCTCAGCGCTAAAAGCGGGTCTTTTCTCTGTGCGGCGGCGAGAGTGTGTGTGTGTGTGTGTGTGTGTGTGTGTGTTTTTCTGTGCGTCTGAGAGAGATGAACAACATGTTATGCAACAGGTTTATTGGATCCGGACAGAAAACGGGCTGCTGTTTTTTTACACCATTCTGAATCACAGAAAACACACCTTCAGCTTCCCACCTCCTCCACATTCCCCTCCCTCCCCCCACACTCTCTGACCCTCTCTCCGTTTCTCCCCCTCTGTCTACATTCACTCTGAAAGATGGCGGTCAGCCCCGTCCTCGTGTGCCTTCTCTCCCTGGTGCGCTGCGGCTGGTCCCACCCGTCCCCCCCGCCCCCCCGGGGCTGCGGCGCGGGCGTGGAGGCCCCCTACCGGGTGCTGTGCGACCTGGAGGCGGCCTGGGGCGTGGTCCTGGAGGCCGTGGCCTGCACGGGGGGCCTGGCCTCGCTGGTCCTGGCCGGGCTGCTGGTGGCCCGGCTCCGGCTGGTTTCGGACCCCGCCCGGCGCTCCGGTTTGGGCCCCCTTCTGCTCCTGCTGGGCACGCTGCTGGGCATCTTCGGCATCTCGCTGGCCTTCCTGGTGGGGAGGAGCCAGGTGCTGTGCGTGGTGCGGCGGGCCTTCTGGGGGCCGCTCTTCGCCCTGTGCTTCTCCAGCCTGCTGGTGCAGGGCCTGAGGCTCCGCAGGCTGGCGGCCGGCAGGAGCAGCCCCCCGGGCAGCACCCTGGCCGCCCTGGGCCTGGCCCTGGCCCTGGTCCAGGGGATCATCTCGGCCGAGTGGGTCCTGCTGACCGTGGTCAGGGAGGGCCACCCGGCCTGCGAGTACCCGCCGCTGGACTTCGCCCTGACCTGCAGCTACACCCTGGGCCTGCTGCTCATCGCCATGGGCCTCTCCCTGGGGGTGGTGCTGTGCGGGGGGGACCTGGGGGGGGGGGGCGGGGGCGGGGGGGGGGGGGGGGGCGGGGAAGGGGGGGCGGGGGGGGGGCAGAAGGTGCTGGACGAGCCGGCCCTGGCCGTGGCCCTGGTCATCCAGGGCTGGATACTGCTGCTGTTCCACGCCATCCCGGAGGCGCACCTGTGCCTGAGGGACGCCTCGGAGTCCGGAGCGCAGGACTTCTTCGACAGCGGTCACTCTTCCTCCGCGCCGCGTTACGGGGAGGAGCTCCAGACTCACTCCCACCAGCCGTTCCAGGAAAACCAGGCTTTCTCAATGGAGGAGCACAGCGCAAGTAGGCCTACGTCAGGTGTGTGTGCGTTTGTGTGTGTGTGTGTGTGTGTGTGTGTCATGTGTCAATAATACCTCATCACATCTTCTTTCTTTACCTATGAAGCTGTAACCAAACATGGTCGGCATTTATTCTGTGTTGCTAAGCAACTGACAACATAAAAGCAGCGCCACTCTAAAAAAAATGGTGAGAGTTTCTACTTTATATGTCAAGAGGGGACTACAGAAAGACCACAAATTATGAAAATAACGTTAACAATGGCCCGACATCATCGAATCAATACTGTGGTGATGATTAAAGCTCTGAGCTGAGTCTGATTTCAGGCTCATCGATAAATGTTATTTTCATTTATCTGCATTTTTTTTATTTGAATGTTTATTCTTTTAGTTTATAATTAATAAATAAACCACTTTACCTGCAAGGTTTAACAATTAGGTAGTTACAACTTCAGATAGAAAATGCTTTATAACATGTTCATCGTGTCAGAACTCACTGAATGGGCTTAACTCAATAGCAGAAAAACACATTTCACTACTTAATCATACAGGTGATCACACAAATTCCCACATCCTTGTGAGGAAATGCTGCTCCTGTTTTCTTTACAGCAGTTCATGGAGGTTTGCAGCTCTCTTAAGGTCCCCCACAGTCCTTTGGCTCTCTGACCAAACATCTCCACCTTAGTCTGCTCTGTTCCTGTTGCAGGGCGGCCATTTTCTTTCAGGAGAGACGAAGCGGTCTCCAGCAGAATTTCCAAGAAAGCCGCACTTGTTTGATCTTCTTTTAAGAGTTTAAACCTTTATCTATTTATAACTGAGACCTGTACTGTCTGAGATGTGGCTATTGTTTTTAAAAAACTAAATTCTCTTAGCATTAAACAGTCTGACCTCGAGGTGAAATTTCTTGCACACCCAACCCTTCGGACGATTGGTATTTCCCACTGAATAACTTTCTCAGAAAAACATTTTCTGAGATCGTTGCTGATGTCTTTCCTCCTTAGCCCGGGTTAACACACAGCTGCTGATGAGCCCCAAAACTGAACACAAACTCTTGGCATGTTAATGCCTTTGGAAGCATTGAGGATGTTCTTAGTGGTTTCACTCTTTTACTTTCAGCTTAGTTTTTCTTTGGAGGAAACCATTTGATAAGAACTGTTATCTTAAAACTCTTTTATTTTCTTAAAACATTCTCAAACCAAACCCCTTGGAAATGAAAGATTACATACTTATTTTACGCATGTATTTTCAACCTTTGCATGAATAAAAAAAAAAATTTGAATTAATATAGATTAATTTCAGTGATTAAAATCAAGCTTTATGGTTATTAAAACCATAAAGCTTTGATGCTCCCTACAAAGGTATCACTAAGATGATAAACCATTCAATCTAATTTGCTAATACATTTATAAATGCTGCTTAATTACGATGAACAGATCTTCCCCAGCTTCACAGACGTTTGCTTTCCTGAAAGTGTGTCTAACAATTAGCTCCTGAACCCGAAGGCTAATTTCACCTCCCGAAATGCCCGAGTATCCATCGGGCTGCTCGGCGGGGAGAATCGTGAGTCATCTCACTTTGATTGCTCTATTTTTATTTGAAGCCAGACGCGCAGATGAAGAGCTAATGTTTGATGATACAGGACAAGCAAAGAGCGGAGACAGTGAGAGCAAACACACACACTTCAGGATGGGCTTTGTTGTTCACTGTGTGGCTGAAAATGAGACAAAGAAAAGTCAAACGACAAGCTTTAAGCAAGATGCTACATGTTTTGGATAGATAGTTGGCAGATCTGTTCATTTCCCTGTTGGATGATAAATCCCCTGTCATGTCAAAGCTGAGGAGTGTTTTCTTAATATCACAAAAGAGACAGGATGACTCATCTAAAGCACCACTTTTTACTCACTTGCCAACAAAACCCGTAAATTTAATGTGGCTGACTGAATCTCTTTTGAGCAGAATGACAACAAAGGCAAAAATAAAGATACTAAGCACTAACATTTATTTGTCACATCCCCAGATCACTAACAGCATCAAACAGCTGGCGTCTATTGTAATTATTATAAAGTTTTAAGCTGAAGTCCAAGTCCATTTTTATCCTAAAATTAACCAAGTTCCATAATTATTTTAAACATCTCATTGAGAACACTTTTAAACTGAGATGCAGCTTTGCAGAAACAAAATTTCCCACATCTCCACATGCAATGCTAACCAGATTAAATTCAAGCTAAAGCTAATGAAGCATTCAAAACATACAAAATTTTGACCCAGTACTGAAATTTTCCATTCTGTATTCATGTTTGTTTACAAAATCCAAATGTTTTACTGCAACTGTATGTGTGTGGCTGGGATTTATGCGTAAGTTGAAAGCTAACATCACTGTTAGCTTCATTGTTAGAACATTTCTGTTAAAACATTTCTGTTCAGGCAGTCTTTGCCCTGCAGGAAATAACCCACTTTGACTCTGTCGTGCCTTTAAAACTATTATGTCTTTATGTCTGTTTGAACGAGTCATTCACCCCACTTCTGTCCCATCATTTAGCTGAAGATGAGTATTTTTGGTGCTACAAAGATAAAGAAAAAGTTTTAGAAAGACACTGGAAATTTAGCAGCTTTTCTTAAGAGAGTAAATAGCACCTCTTGTTTGAATATGATGGAAAAAAGAAAGATCTAATGCCACTCCTTTTCCCCTGAATGACGTCTGATGCTCTGTGTGTGTGTGTGTGTGTGTGTGTGCGTGTGTGTGTGTGTGTGCGTGTGTGTGTGTGTGTGTGTGTGTGTCCATTAGCTCTGAGAACTGGGACGTACCACAGCAGCCAGGGGACGGTCCGGCCCGGTATTGCCTTCAGGGGCCACGTTTACCAGCCCACCGAGATGGCTCTGGTCATGAACGGGGGTTCGGTAAGTACCACACACACACACACACACACACACACACACACACACACACACACAC